CTCTTAGGAGTCCCTTTACCTCAAAACTCTTAGGAGTCCCTTTACCTTAAAACTCTTTGTATGCATCTTTATGAAGAAAATGGTCTAAAAGTGACTTTTACTCAAATGGGGCTTGGTATTGCCTAGTGGCATGGGTCTTCCAGGCAGACTGACAGAACATTTGGAGGTAACTGGCTCTGTCTTATGGGCTGCCATCTTACTATCTTATTGCCTAGATTGGCCCTACACTCTCTGCCCTTCCACAGATACAGTACAATGAAAGTTTCCCACTTCATCTTTCTTGGGCATAGTCCAAATGTCACCTCTTCCACAGAGCCTCTCATGAATGTCGCATGGGAGCTGAGCATTCTCAGCCCTGGGCTCAGTAACCCTTTGGTTGAATGCTCTCCTAAGCTTCCAAAGAGCCATAAAGCATGGACTATTGAACACCCAGGTTCTAAGCGGAAAAGGTGCCACCCTTATTTCCCTCATCAGTCAAATCCCTGCAAGGGACTTCTCACTAAAGTTGTCCTCTGTGGAAGTAAGTACACAAAAGGACTGCCGACGGGCTTGCCTTTGCAAAGACACAGCTCAGGGCGCATTTGCTGCTGCTGTGGCCGAGCTCCTGAACCACACAGTCATCTCTTCCTCCCTCCAGCTGACGTGGTGAAAGGCCGGGCTGCAATCAGCTCCATCCTAAGGGTCACTAGGAGCTGTGGAGGCAGGAGTAGGGGAGGAAAGACAAATGTCAGAATTCTTGGATGATCCTTGGTAGCAACTGGCCAACTGGGGGATGAGAAGGGTGGCAGAGCCTTTCTCCTTTGGGGTCAGCACGTGCCTGGCCACCCAGCAAGAAGGCCAAGGCAGCTGTCAGCTGGGCAGCAGCTTCACTGAATGGACTGCCTTTGTCTTTCTAGAGGTGGGGTGTTTATTTGCTCAGTAGAAAGCCGTGTAAACCAGGGACCAGACGGAAGCCTGGTGATGGTGGTGGCAAGAAGCCCAGTCACCCTTCAGACAGAAGAGCCACCAACAATAGAAGGATGTAGATAGGGCGTTGGAAAGAAGGAAGGGCCCTACCTGAGGCCAAAACTCTTCACCTCCCTCTGAAGGTCTCTGAGATAAAGATTTGAGGGAGAGGTAAAAGGGCCTTTGCTTGCTGGCTTTAGTAAACCTCTGCAGAGTTGGTAGATGGGGTCTTATACCCCCGCCCCCACCCCGGCTTACCTCCTTTCCACAGCTAAGCAGTAAGTTTATGCCAACAGTTGTCAGCTCGGGCTTAGTGTTCTAATTTGAAGCGAAGCGGTCAGTCCCTTACCCTGAGATGATTCTTTGTCCCGGGGCCTAGCTGCTCTTCTCTCATTTTGGCTGGCCCTGCTAGCTAGCTCCTCAAGCTCCCAGCAGAAGCGGGACAGGGCCGCGATTATTAGCAGTA